CACTTAAAATGTACTCAAGTAAAAGTACACAATTTTTAAACTACTCAAAGTACAATTACTGATAAAAACTACTTAATTACTGTGACGTGAGTATTTGTAATTCGTTACTTCACACCCCTGGAAACTATCCTTTTAAAACACTTCACTTCAAAACACCTCCAAATTCTGTTTCCTCCATCTGCGCTCCAGTAACATTGAAGGAAAGCACATGTGACTGAAGCTAAAGCCTCTCACTCTCTTCCAGCGTCCGCTGCCACCCTCATCAACATCAGGAACGCCAGGAGACACTTCGAGAAGCTGGAGCGTGTGGACGGGCCCAAGCACAGTCTGCACATGCGCATGCGCTAGCCTCGCCGCATACAGCGTGAGTCTACACCAGACCTCACCTAGCGGTGATCTAGCTTAGCTGTCCATCTCTAAATCAGTTTCACATTCACTTCCAACAAAATGCTGGGGGAAAAGCATTTTAAAACTTTGCATTCTTGCTGTTCCAGTGTCTATAAAAAGTGCTGTCAAACGATTAATCGCATCCAAAATAAGTTTTTTTTTTATACATAATATATGTGTGTACTGTGTGTATTTTTATGTATATATAAACACACACACATACAGTATATATTTAAGAAAAATGTTGTGTTTATATATATATATATATATATATATATGTAATATAAAATATAAGAATATAAATGTGTATTAAGTAAGAAATACTTTCTTTATTATATGTGTGTATTCATATATACATAATAAATATACACATTATACATATATTAGTTAAACAAAAACTTTTATTTGGGATGCGATTAATCGTGATTAATCGTTTGACAGCACTAATTATAAAACAAGTTCGAGTAACAGCGATGTAGCGGATGCTTCAAACTCATCATACAGTGACTTACTAGAGAATGCTGTGCTTTTAAACAGTGATGAGAATGTTTGGAAATGACATTTATAAATCCAAGACTTTGTGTTTATAGCAACAAACAGTGCATCCAGAAAGTATTCACAGCGCTTCCACATTCTGTTATGTTACAGCCTTATTCCAAAATGGATTAAATTCATTATTTTCCTCAGAATTCTGCAAACAATACCCCATAATGACAACGTGAAAGAAGTTTGGGTTGCACTTTGTTACAGGACAAGTACTTACATTTACTTACAGTGTACTTACCAAAGAAAGTACTGGTAATATAAGGTAACTACATGGGGTAGGTTCAGGGTTAGTACCTAGTTATAGTAATTACTTTAATCATTAAGTACATAGTATGTACATGAGGAACAGGACTGTAAAATAAAGTGCTACCGAAGTTAGTTTGAAAAATGTGGGAAAAGTAAAGCGCTGTGAATAGCTTCCGGATGCACTGTATCAAGGTGTTTCTCTAGGTCTGCTGCTGTTTTACAGAGCTCTTGATGGTTTTCTTGTTCTCAGGGTGGTGGACGATCCAGAAGATTTCCTCCTGTCTTGCTGACTTCACTCGCATCCAGTGTTTCTGCTGAGAAACTAAGTCACCTTCTGTTAACATGCTTGTTTTCCTCGCTGATGTTGCAAAGGATCTGTAGTTCTTAATCATAAACCACAGGTCGAGGGGTTGAATGTCGTCATGACCCCTTAATATCTGATGTTTGTGCTGTACGCTGACTGCTGAGTTACCGATAGTCAGGAACGCTAGATCGTTCTTTCTCTGTGTGTCTTTTATATGAAGCATTATCAGCTTGCTGTACTGTGTTTGCAGATGTTGAAAACGAGAGCAGAATGCTGTGACTAAAACTGGTCTTTCTAAATTAACAACTTGATCTACAAATGTATTGTATTATAATTGTTCTCAATAAATACAGATCTTTCTGTGCAACAAAACCAGAGTTATGGAGATTATGAAGTTAATGGTTAACTGGTTTATGAGGAGCCCATCTACACCTTTAATGGCTGTAGTGAAAGCAGCCTCTTAATTAGAATAATTAGGCCAATTGCAGGTTATTTTTCTGTATTTATCATTAGTGTACATATTGATTTATTAAGTGTGTCCTGTGTTCAGTTGCAAACATTCCATTCCATAATCCCTCATTTCTTTAATCAAACTTCTCACTTCACCTTCTGTGCCTTCATCAGAAAGTTAAAAAATAAACATATTTGCTAATAAGTCTGTTATAGGAATACTGTATGTGGGAAGAGTTCGAAAACCAGCAGAACAGGCTAGATGTGTACTGCAGGTTTTGTTGGTTTTTGTCATAAGCCTAAAGTTTTGGTATTGGATTAGTATGTTTTGATTGGTTTAGAGTGTAACATTAATCCCCTTAATAAGTCCAGAGTTTTTAAACATTTTATTTTATTAAACATTGGTACTTTAACAGGTTACTTGGGTATTCAGTTGTCCCCAACTTATCATTGAGCGGATCTCCAGTGGTGGGATGAAAACTGTGAAACTGGGTCCATATGGCTCATTCACACAGGTCTTACAATTAGAATTAATAATAAAAAAAGAGCCTAGAAGCCAATGCTTTGCACTCTCTCTGCATGAGGAATGACTTCAATGATCATGTCCAAAGTTTCCCTGTTCATGCTCCTGTCGGTTACATGTGCTTCAGGACATGCTCAAGTGTAATGCTAAAGACCTGCTTGTTCATTGTTTGGCAATGACATAGTCCTGAGTGCTATAAAGATGTGATTTAAAGGTCTACACACATTTGATCCGTCACTGAGAGCAGTCATAAACACTGAAGGGTGTTACTGGCACGAGTAATGTCAATAATGTCCCTTTCCTTATGTTTGGACAGTGCAGTATAAAACAACTGCTATCGCACATTTCTTTTCAGTATGTGAGGCCTTTAGAAAAGATTTTGAACATTCTATATACATATATATATACATAATCTCTACAAACCCCTTTAACTGAAATTGGGGATAAATCATGAGTGAAATGCATGGACATACTAAAGAAATAAAAATGATTCAAAATTGTATTTAAGGTATGTGCAATATAATGAATTTGTTTAATGACAAAGTTGATATTGCAAGCAAGAAAGCTGCATCAATTCAACAAAGTCCTGCAAAGAAGATATTATTTCCCAATCATACTCGAGCAGAACAGCCGGTCAGTATGTGATTGTATGGCTCTTTAAAGGTGCGTTAGATAAAGCTGTGATTGCTAGAACAACTTTACATTGTGAGGACAAACAAGCATTTACAGTCGAATAAATACGATGTGGCCTCAAGTCTGTTTGTTTGGTCTTTTTAACAAATAAGTGCTTGCAAAGATGAAGAAAATGCACTTTAAACTTCCTTTAGATGTGATGCATCTCACTATAATAAAACTATAAACGAAAAAAAAATAACCATTTTAACAAATCATTTACAAGTCAAAGCAAAATGAATAAGATGCTTTACTAAATGTAAAGGGGCATTTTGATCAACTTTAAAACCAGAAAATCATTGCAAATTTGTAGTTCAAACATAAACAATTTAAAAAATGTATTTTATCAATGCAACATTGTTCAGGGGCATCACACTATACTGCAAAAAAAAATTTTTTTTAAATATCAGTTATATCAACAAGTATGGGCAACAGGATATGATGTCATACTCTAGGGCTTCTGTTTTCATCCATCCATTTCTCTAAACTAACTTGTCTAATGGTTGAGGGTTTCTGTTTTCAATAAATAACATATAATAATACATTAAAAAGGTTAAAACGTACCATCTACTCCACTTTCCACACAGCAAGCCATGCCGCTTTTTATTTTTGTGTTGAGACGAAAGGTCAATCTGTGCTGTATAGACCCTCTATCGGTCAAATATTATATGCACAAATATGAACTTCAGTACAGAAGCAAATGACTAACTGTTTACCCTCTCCAGTGTTTGCTTAGTGTGAAACCCAATTATTCCTCTTTTATCTTATCTGCTTTTTAGGACCAGATGGACACTTTTCAAATGTGTAGTATTTGACGGTTCTCCAGCATGTTTCCCCCCATGATCACTCCTCACATGTAGAGGGGCCTTTTAAACGATAATGACAGTCGATTAATATGATTACAGACATCCACCTTCCATCAATGGCTGATAGTTGGTAGAAACCTCCGTCTAGAAAGCAGAGCAGCGCTCGCTCTTATCCGCGGGAGGCTTTCGCCCAGCGTTGAATCTCGGCTTGAACGAATGCTCTGAGATCAGCTGATTTATTTCGTTCTGCTTGTAAGTTGCCAGTTTTTGAGCGAGCCAAGGCGCTTTGGGTTCACCCACTGCTCCTTGAAAGTATTTCATACACGCCCGACCGATTAAATACACAACCTCTGCAATGTTCAGCAAGACACAGACTCCAGACACGGCCAGCATGAAGACAGTGAAGATGGTCTTCTCTGTGGGACGCGACACGAAACAGTCCACTGTATTGGGACAGGGGTAAGAGTCACACTTCACAAGACGCACCATCTTGATGTCCGGATAGATCAAGTAAAAAATGTACAAGAAAACCAGCTCGAAAACGATGCGGAAGACGATGCTGATCATGTAAGTCCACCACAGAGCACCGGTGATCTTGAACTTCTGGCTCTTGATGTTCTCGAAGTCCTTGGCGCTCCCTCGCCCGGAGATCTTGAGGATCTTCTTCTCGATGTGCCGGCGGTGAGCGATGTGCATGGCCACCAGCAGGGCCGGCGTGGACACCAGGATGAGCTGCAGAGCCCAGAGGCGGATGTGGGAGACGGGGAAGAACTGGTCGTAGCACACGCTGTTGCAGCCGGGCTGCTGGGTGTTGCAGGTGAAGCCCGACTTCTCGTCGCCCCACACGCTCTCGGCCGCCACCACCAGCACCATGATCCGGAAGATGAAGATGACCGACAGCCAGATGCGGCCGATGCTTGTCGAGTGCCTGTTCACACCGCTGATCACCGCGTAAAACGACACCCAGTTCATGCTGGACTCGAGGACTGCAGGGCAAGCAAAGCACAAGGAGTGTTCTTGACAAGTTCAACTCTGCATTAAGTCTTGTTTACCAGTCAGGTTTGTGTAGGGTGTCCTTGTTACAGTGTAATTATTCATTTAAGTACTGAGTAATATTAATTAACTACATGTACTTACGGTACTATATGTGACCCTGGACCACAAAACCAGTCATAAGGGTAAATTTTTCGGAATGGAGATTTATACATAATCTGAAAGCTGAATAAATAATCTTTCCATTGATGTATGGTTTGTTAGGATAGGACAATATTTGGCTGAGATACAACTATTTGAAAATCTGGAATCTGAGGGTGCAAAAAAATCAAAATATTGAGAAAATCATCTTTAAAGTTGTTCAAATGAAGTTCTTAGCAATGCATATTACTAATCAAAAATTAAGTTTTGATATATTTACGGTAGGAAATTTACAAAATATCTTCATGGAACATGATCTTTACTTAATATCCCAATGATTTTTGGCATAAAAGAAAAATGGATAATTTTGACCCATACAATGTATTGTTGGCTATTGCTACAAATATACCCCAGCGACTTAAGACTGTAGTGCTCCAGGGTCACATATGGTTAAGGTTAGGATTCGGGTTACTTGCATGTAATTATGCATAATTCATTGTTATTATAATAGTAAGTACATGCAACATGTGTAACAAGGACACCTTAAAATAAAGTGTTACCAAATCTTTTAATAAAATGTTTGAAATGAGTTGTGCACAAATACATATAGTGCCTGTTTTTGAAAAACATACATACAATTTCAAAAATGAAGCTTCTTTATACATGCATTAGTAAGTAATGAATTCCTAGGCTACTTTTTCCTTGAAGAAGTAAAAGCAAAGTAAGGGATTACTCTTAATTTTACTTAAAAATTAGGTAACACTTTATTTTAAGGTGTCCTTGTTACACTTTACATGTACTTACTATTATAATAACAATAAATTATGCATAGTTACTTACCCTAAACCAAACCCTAATCCTATAGTAAGTACATGTAGTTAATTAATATTACTCAGTACTTAAATGTAGAATTACACTGTAACAAGGACACCTTAAAATAAAGTGTAATTAAAAATGTCTTACTCTTAACAATTACAGCTACTTCTGATGGAATTACATTAAATATTCTATAGAACAATTGGTAACACTTCAGTATAGGGACAAGTTCACACTATTAACTAGTTGCTTATTAGCATGCATTTTATTAACATATTGGCTGTTTATTAGTACTTATAAAGCACATATTCTGCATGACCATATTCTATATCTCTAATCACCTTAACTTAACTACCTTACTGTTAATAATCAGAAAATTAGGAGTTTATTGACTCATAGTTATGGTTTGTTAATAGCAAGAATAGGACCTTAAAATAAAGTGTGACCAAACAAATCTATATAAAACTATGCTGGATTTAACATCTAATGTTACAATTAGCTGTATGTTTTAATGTAACCTTCTCCTTTAAATACATTGGTCAGTTCAAGAATAATTTATGCAATTTTATATTATTTATTCGAAAGACTTTAACGAGAAGTTTCATATCCATCCTTGTATTGTTCAAATATGGCATTTAGAAAGTAATTAGTAATAAGTAATGCAATACCTTTTACAGAGAGTAATTAGTACAGTAATCTAAAGACACAAATGTAATTAGTAGCTAGTAATTACTTTTTTTTAGAGTAACTTAATGTTTTATTGCCTTACGTAATTACATTACGTAAACACTATAACATTATTATACATAAAATGTGGAAAATAGTCACAATAAAGGGTAAAAAAGTCGAAAACCTTTGACTGGTAATGTGCATAACCTATTTAGATATGTCATACGCAACATGGCTAAACACTTCAACTTTTAAACTTCCAATTACACAACATTCAATATTACTATAATCCCAACAAAATGCTAAACCACAAATCTTCTCCGACACCAAACTCTGAATCTGAGCAGTAGTTTACCAGGTGCAGCCCGTGAGAAAGCAGCTTATGCTACCAGCTCCAAACATGAAGAACAACAGACTGGGTTCTTGGCATTTGGATACTTGGTTAACTGAAATAAAAATGAGTTGTGGTTAATCTGGAGCTGGTTAAGAGCTTGGGCGATGGTCTAGCACCGCATGTCGTCACCTGACACAACACGACCTGGCCAATAGCAGGCTTTCGGTTGGCCCACACAACAAATCCACATTTACACTAATACAAGATAGTAACTGTGATCAGAGCTCAGAGCAGTTCAGTGCATCTGTATAAACTACATGACTGATCTGAAGTCCCACTTGCAATAAGGATTTCAATTTTACAATGTGCTGCAAAAATAACTGAGCAGTCAAATGAACATTTCCAAGTTTGATTATGGTGAATGAAAAGAGCGATTTACCTTCAGCTGTGATAATATAGAGACATTTCCAGGAAACAGCTAATGGCCTTGCTACAGATCAGCATTTACAGATTTACGCACTACTAGCCACAACCCTGCACCATGGCTGTCATACGCACTTATATAACCCATTTATACACAATGCTGCTCTTTATGGAGGCTAACAAGACTCTTCAGAATTCAGACCAAATGCCTTGATTTCCACCCACCCGGGGCAGAAGAAAGAATCTGTGTGGACACAATGAGCAGCAACATTATTCATTGTGCCTGGCAGGGAGAGGAAATGAGAATTGTGCTGTCTTTATCAAACACAGCACAATTTATCAAAGGAGGTCGAGCTGTCAAGAAATGACACTGTCAGGGTTTTGTGTGATATTTCCAGGTTCAAACTCAGATTCTGTGAACGGCGGTGTGTTTGAAAGCTCTGATCTGAAGATGACACACAGTTCTTTGAGCACTTCTGTGTTTTGTTGAATGGCTCTAACATTGGCAGGTGAGTTCAGTCAACCAGATCTCACAGGAAAACAACCATTTCACAAGGTGGCGATTTCATATGAATTTGTACGTATCGTATAAAAATGCATGATTTTCAGAAAAAGGTAAGCATTAAGGTCCACCCCTAAACTGGGTTTCTTTAGAAAGTCTTAATTCAACCTTCCACAAATGAAGGCCTTAAATCAGAGCAGAAAGTCTTTAATTCATGTTTTCCAACACAAATATCTAAACATCCTTAAATCAAGATTTACTCACATTCACTTAAGATGCTAAATGAAGATAGCTTGAGTGTTGAAAAATGTAACAAAATTGAGTTTGTGCTTAAAACAAGAACAAATATCCATCAATGGGGTATAAAAAAGTGTTTCCCTTGGAATTGAATTGATTTTTCGGAGCCCGTTTGTTCCTGTTTTCAGTTTCACAGAAAACAAGACTTAAGTCAAGTTCGCTTCTCAAGTGCATCTTATTTTTAAGATACATTTGCACGGGAAAACAAGAGAAATACAGAGGAAGAGCATCACGTTTTTGCAGTGCGATCAGAAGGTACAGTGAAAGTTATTTTCTAGTGAAGCTTTTTTGTAAAATGAATTAAAAAGTATTTTCTAATGCAATTTATTTTCTGCTCCCTAAACATTTACTTTTAGAGAACATATTGATGTACTGTGTTCCCATCCATTTTTTCACTAAATTTTGTATACTTGGTTTTTAAAAAAGTTTTGTTTTAAATCGTTTTTATATTTATTGATTGCCAATATGTTTGGCAGGAGTGTCATTCAAGTGATCAGTTTGACAAGCAGAACAACATTTGAGGCATAAGAAGAAGAAAAAAAAACTTTTTATTGGTTGCTTTTCAAATTTTCTTTTTTTAGAATACTAGAATATTTTTTAAACAGCCCAAAGCCACTGTAACGTGTTCTGCAGCACACACACAACACAACGAAGGAGTAGCACCACAAACAGTCTTTATTCAGAATTACAAACATTTAGGAGAAATAGCAAACCACATAAACTGAAACAACATGAAAACCATGAGCTGAGGGCTTAAATACAGACTGAGTATCATCAACAGAAAACAGAACAGGTGTGTTAATTGACAACAAAGGAAACTAACGATGACTGGGAAATTAACATAGGAAACAGAGAAAACAAAAACAAAACAGACTATACATGTTACAGCTCAACAGACACCCATATGCTGCAGTTTGAGAAGACAGATGCAATTATAAACCAGGGTTTTCACATTTTGGCCCTTGAGATAGTTTATGGCTTCTCAAGTGTTAATGTTTACTCCTTAAATTCAGTTTTCATAATGTTCCTCATCTCTAAACACAACTGTTTTTTTCCAGCAATGCAACTTCAGGCGTCACTTCTCCACTCCACACATCAGCGGTCTGCTGGATACGAGGGAGAGAAAGGTCTGTGCATGAATCAGGAACTGTAGAGTAGGCTGAGTACAGTAACAATGTGAATATGACCCTTTCAACTGTCATCATCTGTGCATTCACTCTCTTTGTGGAAAATATGAAGCGCGCAGTCCACATTCCTGCAAAGACATTTGAGCACATTTACTGTAGATTGTTGTTCTTGTCTGATCTTGAAAACTTTGCATGTTGTAATTATATTGTAAAAGGTTTTTGAAACATGGTAACATGCTAGTTAACTGAAAAATCATCTTAGCATCAGCAGAAGAAACACGCACGAGGCAGCAGCTCAGTGGCAATCCAGTTTCACTGCATGACTAATGTGTGTCTTGTGTAGTTCTGATGCTTCAATAACATGTACTGACATCCTTCTCAGAGGAATGCATTTAAAACAACTCAATGACATCAATATGTGCATCTGTTTCTGCAAAGAATGTGAACTTTTTGCTTCTGAAAGACTGTCATGAGGAGAACTGCAATTCAGAGCGTTTAAAAATGAAACATACATTTCTGTTATATTTTTGTGTTTAATTGTTGTTGTCACTTTTTTAGTTTTTTTAGGGATTTTACAAAGTAACTATTACAGCAAAATTAAGCCCACTACTATTAATGGAGATGTAGCCGGTGAGCTTTCATACTTTTCTTTTGAATGAAATTCAGTTTTTTGTTTATTGCACATTATATCATTCTAAGAATATATTTAAACATTATTGGTTTGTTTAATGGCCTACATTTTTGCCAGTGATTGTTAATATAAAATATGTTCCGATTAAAATCTATAAATGTCAAATATTTAAAATCATCATCAGTGTATTTACTGTGTAAAGGTTGAATATCTGCTGTCTATTTACATGGTCTGCTTTATGGTAGTTTAAAACCAAGCATTTAAATCCTGCGTGTGCTAAATCCTGCCTGTATTTGATTGTATCAACTTGTGCTTGCTCTTAAAGTGGTGTTTGTATTTGTTTAAAGTTTTTTCACCTGACTGATTGATTGATTGATTGACCAAATGAACACTGCATCGAACTTTCAAAATAAAAAAGGGAAAAAGGAGAGCAAAAGTTTGGTCAATGAGTGAAAACTTCTTGTAGTGGGCTGTTTCAAGTGGGAGAGTTCTGCACATTGACAACCTTGCAAAACAGTGAGGACACACTTGACAGTAACATGAAAATAACTATAAATAGTAAGTAGATTTTTAAGTAGTTTTAAGTAGAGTAACTTCCCCAACAAAGCTCAGCACAGAGCAGTGTGTAACGTGTATAGACTACTATGAGTAACAAACAAAAATTATGTATACAAAAAAAAAAAAAAAAGTATACAAAATTTGTGGATAAGGGTGCAATTGTATTGAACTATTTTAAAGACATGCATTTTTATTGGCAGATCTGCATAAGACAACAAATGTTGTAAAACAAATGTGCAGTTCTCTTTCTAACATTCGTTTGGTATCTCACTATGGGGAACGCCTCAGGCGTGATCGATCGCGGAAGCACCAATAACACCACGTCTGCCAACCATGGCAGACCAATCGCTGCAGCGATCAGGGAGTCCTGCCTCCCTGTATATAAACAGCAGCTACCTGCCGTTTCGTCATTTTCGCTCTCTGCCCCGTGAAGATTTTCGGAAGCTGGCTCAGCTGACTTCGGGAATTATTTGCTTAACAATTTACAGACGGAGCCGCAAGGTAACGTCTCAAACGCAATACATTCCTAACGTTTGTTGAGCGACTTCACTTAGAGTGAGATAACTAACGCGTCAGGGCGAGTTTTCTGCTCTAAGTTTTCAATTTTCCAAGTTTTTGGGGGCACTCACCACGCACCAAAAAGAAGAAAAAGGAGAGCTCTCTATTGCAGAACAGGTCCGTACTAGTTGTCATGTTGTGGTGGGCTTACCGTACGAAGAGAGTACAGGCCACTGCAAAAAAAACGGAGAGCCCCGGAGGAAAAGGTCTTCCTCCCCATCCGTGTGCTTGTGGAATGTGGATTTCTGCGAAGGATTCACACGGCCTCTGCATCTCCTGTTTGGGCGCTAAACACGCTCAGGCAGCTCTGTCCAACCCCGAGGGCTGTCCTCACTGCACGTCGTTCTCGGTTAAAACCCAAGAGCGGAGACTCCGCATGGCAATAGCTGGGAAGTCGGACCCATGCCTCTCTGCTCAACCCAGAGAGGAACTGATGGATTGTCCGCAGGCCAGCAGCTCATGGGGAGAGATGAAGTGTCACCCGTCCTTCCCCCGCTGTTCGAAGATCCGTTAGCGGGAGACGCCCCTCCTTACTGCCTATCAAGCAGAGTTACTTGAGGAGATGGGGCTTCAGCTGGACTCTGGATCTCCCAACCCAGCGCTCTGAACGTCCCGCGGAGCAGTTCAAAGCTGCGGTCGGAGTATGGGCTTAGCGGTTGTGGGAGAGAGATCGCTATGGCTGGGTTTGTCAGGCCTCTCTGACAAAGAGAAGGTGGAGTTTTTGGATGTCCCTATTGATCCAAAGGCCATGTTCGGGCGCGACTGTAACAGCGATGCGTCAGCAATGTGACCTGCGGAAAAAAGAGGGAGAGGCATTCGAGGTCTGTCTCCCCAGAAAGCCGGCAGCTTGGCCTTATCACCCGAGCCCACCGAATTTCAGACCTTAAGGGAGAGGGGAACATTCTGACTATCAACCTTCCCATCCGGCTCTACCGCAACAGCCGGGAAACGCGGGCCCTCAGTCAAAACCCAGTTTCCTGAAACCAAAACAGTCTTTCGCAGCCGCAGCAGTGAAACACCGGTCGGCAACCCCTCAGTGAAACAAAAAGAGGCGGTCGACCTGAGAAGTCAGCTTGGCATCAGGAAGGGTTTGGAGACAGCACTCAGGGTTTCTCGGTCTCATCCCTTCAGAACGATTCCATTCTCCCTCCCACGGGGAAAAGGAGAAGGAATTTGAATGTGAAATGGGCTTGTGTGGTCAGTTCAAAGTCCAATGTGTTCAGGGAAATGGCCCATGTTCCTCTGGTGCCCCCCAAAGAATTGTCTCTCCCTCCACCTTCCGAGGTTTGTTCTGAGGGAGGAAGGACAAGAGTTCATAAGCATCCAATCACAAATAAAGTTTTCTCTGACGCATCCAGACCAAGGGCTGAGGGCGCAGAGTGGGATAAAAATAAAGAAATGTCACAAAAAAATTAAAACAATCACAAATAAAGACGAATCCTTCCTTCACTGGAGCGGTATTCCCTTCCTTCGCCACTAGAGTGTGCTGTAACACCACTAGTGAGCGAAGACGGGAAGGGCCCACTCGCAGCTCAGGGGGCGAACTGTTCATCCCTGGGTTTTAACCACGATAGACAGGGGATAGACTTCAATTCGCTGTAAAACCTCCTGTGTTCAATGGAGTGGTAATCTCAGTGGCTCAAGGGGAAGCAGCTCAGGTTTTAGAGGAAGAAATTATCCTCTTTAATGAGAAAAGGAGTGATAAGAGTGATTCCAACAAGAGAAAGCCACATAGGTTTTTACTCCAGGTATTTTGTGATTCCTAAAAGAGGGGGAGGTCTCCGTCCAATTTTGGATTTACGGGTCCTCAACAAACACCTCAGAAAATACAAATTCAAAATGCTGTCGCTCAGAATGTTGTGTCAGAGTATTCGTCAGGGAGATTGGCTCACCTCAGTGGACCTCCAGGACACATATTTTCACATAGATATTTTTCCTGCTCACAGGAAATATCTGAGGTTCGCTTATCAGGGCACAGCATACGAGTATACGAAAATACCCTTTGGCTTTGCTTTGGCTCCCAGGGTTTTCAGCAAATGTGTGGAAGCGGCTCTGACGCCGTTAAGGAACGGAGGGGTCGAGTTTCATCATATCTGGACAATCTGCTCATCTGTGCGCTGTCCCCGAGGCAGGCAGAGAGCGATACGTACACACCTTTAACACATCTGGAGAGATTAGATTTCAAGATAAACCAGACGTAGAGTTGTCTAACTCCTGCACAGGAAATAGTCTACTTGGGTCTCAGGATGAATTCAGTGATGTTTCGAGCTTTCCTATCAGAGGATCGTATCAAGACATTTCACAGCTGCCTTTCCCTTTTTCCACGAGGGAGATCAGTCTCTTTCAGAATCTTCGGCTACTGGGTCTGATGGCCTCGACAGTGTCAGTGGTTCCCCTAGGACTGCTGCAAATGAGGGATTTTCAGATTTGGACAGCGTCACAGGGCATTCGCCCCAAGAGCCGTCTCAGCCGCAGAGTGCGCGTCACACCAGAATGCATGAGCGCTCTGTCATTGGAGAGCCCCGTCTTTTTACTGTCCAGAGGGAATCTTCTGTACAGGGAGTGGAGACTCCACCCCCAAGTGATCCTCATGGTGTGGCAGAGATTCGGCCTGGCCGCCGTAGATCTCTTTGCATCACGCGAAGACGCGCAATGTCCCCTGTTCTTATCTCTAGCCAGCGATAATGCACCGATGGGTGTGGATGCTCTAGCCCACGAGTGGCCAAATGTGTTACTTTACGCGTTCCCTCTGTTGAGCCTGATCGAGTCGACACTACGGAGGGTTCGGGAATGCAAACAAGTAATGATTCTGATCGCCGCATACTGGCCTGGGGAGACTGTGGGTTGCGGAGATTGCGCAACTGCTCTACGACCAGCCATGGCCGTTACCAGCACGCAGGGATCTCCTCTCACAAGCACGGGGGGAAATCTTTCACCCCTCCCCTCAGAAGCTAGCTCTCTGGGCCTGGCCCGTGAGAGGCTAAATCTGAATGCAGCTGGGTTACCTCCGAAAGTGATACAGACAATTCAGAACGCGAGGGCTGCCTAGACACATTCTTTATATAATCTAAAATGGAGGGTGTTTGAGGGATGGTGTGCAGATAGAAACATTGTTCCTTTCTTGTGTTCAGTTTCGGATGTGCTGTGCTTCCTACAGGACCTTCTGGATAAGGGCAGAGCCTTCTCTACTGTTAAGGTTTATCTGTCCGCTATCTCGGCATGTCATGTTGGTCTTAACGCCGGTACTATTGGCCAACACCCTCTCGTCTGTCAATTTATGAGAGGGGCACGTAGGCTACACCCAGTATCGAAGCCGCTGGTCCCGCCTTGGGAGTTTTTTGTAGTTCTGAATGCGCTCTCAAAAGCCCCACATTGCCTTGAAGCTGCTCGCTTTTAAGACGGCTCTGTTACTTGCTCTCACTACAGTAAAAAGGGTGAGTTGCATGCTCTATCAGTTCACTCCTCATGTATGATGTTCACTCCAGGGGATCGAAAAGTATCTTTTAGACCTAACCTGGCGTTTGTGCCTAAAGTGTTTGATCACGCTGGTGCAGTTCAATCAGTGGACCTGCTAGCTTTTCATCCACCACCTTTTTCATCCCCAGAGGAGGAGAGGTTACACAGTTTATGTCCGGTTCATGCTCTGTATATGCATGTTCAGAGAACCCGCACACTTCGTAAGAGCAATCAGCTATTTGTCTCGTGGGCTGACTCTTACAAAGGAAAACCTATCTCCCGTCAACGCCTTTCCCACTGGGTGGTGGAGGCTATCGTGTTATGTTACAATAATGCGAATATAGAGCCCCAAATAGGATTACGAGCCCACTCTACTAGAGGTATGGCTACATTCTGGGATCTGTTTAGAGGCATTTCTATTCAAGAAATTTGCACGGCAGCCAGCTGGTCTTCTCCGCACACATTTGCTCGTTTCTATAGACTGGATGTGACAGAACCCTCTCTGGCCCAGTCAGTCCTGGGTTATCATTCAGATAACCTAGTCTTTCTTTAGTCTACTTCGTTAGCATATCGGCAATACGGGAGTTGTCTATATCCCATAGTGAGATACCGAACGAATGTTAGAAAGAGAACCGGGGTTACATCAGTAACCTAACGGTTTTCTAACCAGGCACTGAATAGAGTAGCCATTAACAGGTCTTTCAGCATTTCATGAACAGACAGTGTCTCTTAAGCAGCACTTCAAGAGCATATTTAATACGTCAGGCATTTTAAAAGTGTTAATGTGCTCCAGAGTACAATTACAGTAAAGTTTGCCCAGCCAGAGTTAACAAACAAACAAAGAACAGTTCATATTTCAGTATTTTTACAAAGAACAACAGAACAGTCAGTGAACTCTAAAATTGTTAGAAACAAGACATGCTTCTATTTTACAATTCCTGGTTATTTTTAATTATGAATTATCTAAACCAAAAAGAACACATTCTACAGCGACGAACATCACCAAATATTTTCTGTAATACAATCTATCTTGTAACAATGTACAGTGTTCACAAACTATGTAAAAAAAAAAAAAAATTTCAAACTGAGACTATGAAATCTGCATAGTTACAGTAGATATTGTGAAGTTTGTATAAGGTTATGATGTAATGATAAAATACAAAAGCATGTAAGTTTGCTGATCACTGAACATTATTCCCTGTTGTGACTGTAACAGGAGATCAGATACTTCTCCCGCTGTAACGACTGCTGTCTGGTTTGCTCTGGGACGTCACCTGAGAAATCACAGCATACATGTTACTATAAAGAATTAGTCCATTGTGTTATTATCTAATTATGCGTCACTTACTTCTCTTCAGGCCCCTGGGTTTGTTACATTCATGAACGGCAAATCTATTCTGAGCAAGTCTCACAGACAGAGAGTCTCCTCTCCTGAGAGAATCAAACACAAAGCACAGATATTATGATGAAAAACGAGACTGTGAATGTGAATCCAGACAAATGCACATCATTACAATCTTCTTTAAGTTCTGCCGGGTTCACACTGCACGACTGTCTGGAGTATCATCTCGCTGCTGTTGTGTGTAAACTACACGACAGATCGCTGACGTGGGGCACACATTACACAACTTTTCAATAGGAAGAATCACAGACAGCTCCATCTGGTCTACAAACATTTCATAACTACATAAGCTCACACGAGACTGGACTTCTTCCTGTTAAGAAGCTTGTGATAAATGTTGTCTGAATGCATTTCCAGTCTGAACACATTTCACACTGCAGTACCGAGTCGCCGACAGCTGCAGATATTTAGCATGCCAAACATCTCACAGGCATCAGTGTGTCTTTAATAACACGCATGAACTAATGTTAATTATAAACTATTTACCATAACATTTCTATGTCACCATTATAAAATGAGTGCGGCACATAGAGACTAATTCTAAATTTAAATTTAACCACTGTATTTTTTATTTGCCCAATTTATTAAGACAAATTTATTTGTTTTAACAGTCAAACACAAACACAAATTAAAATTTAAACAAACATCTCCTTTCTTATGTTTTATATGCAGATTAAATAAGTCTTAAAGGGATAGTTCACCCAAAAATGAAAATGTGATGTTTATCTGCTTACCCCCAGGGTAGGACCCCTTTAAAGTGGGATTAGCAAGTGTCGGATACCAATTGAACAAAAAAGCACACTTTAGATATTTCTGTAATGCTTGTGAACAATATTTAAGTGAGAATGGGGTAGTCCTTACCTCATAGCACCAATCTTTCCCTTCTCCATGAAGAGTTCAACCAAAACTTCTCCTTCTTCTGGGTAAAGCCTGGCATAAAGAGTCTTGTTCTGCACTTTACTCTTGAACCAGCTGATCGCTTCAAAAGACCATGTTTCTCCATTCACTGGCCTCACCTACAACACACAAGTTAAAATACAGCTTAATGCATTAAAACTAAATAAATAAACCCTACAGTAATATTACTAGAGTCACCCACATTCACCAGAGAGACCTGCAGCGCTTGCACAGGTATGGATGCTGCTTCTCCACACAGTTCCTTAACATCCCAAAGAGAGACGCAAACAACATCTCCATAGTCAATCCTCCTGACCTCCACCTTAATGTCTGTGCAATCTCTGCTGCTGGACCCTAAAATAATCATCATCATCAACATTTCATCACTGACATGAAAACAGTTACACAGAGTTACTGCTAAAATTACAAATGAACTGTTCACCTAAAAATGAGCTTTCAGTTCTCATGCAGTAACTCACTCTTTCCTTGTCAAAAACAGAAATAGTGTTTGACAGATGAAATCATGAAATAAAGTCTTAAATGACACGGGTCAAGGGTGAAGATAATGAAAGACTGATTTAAAACAGCTTTATCTGACCTCGACTCATCTGACAGATTCTGATGATCTGACCGCGGCTCCACATCTCTTGCTTGAGGAACCAAACCATGACATAAACTCCAACGTCTGGGATGCGATTCATCTCTGCAAAAGATCTGCTGCTATTCCTCCTGCTTAATCATAATGAAAACAGAGAGAGAGAGACATCAGTACTGGAACTGTACAGACACAGTAATAAAAAATAAAGATATGCCACACTACTTCACCTAAAAATGTAAATTTGCTGGAAACATACTGATCCTCAGACCATCTAACATGTAGAGGAGTTTGTTTCTTCATCAGGTTTGGAGAAATGTAGCATTGCATCAGTGTCTCAGCAATGGATGCTCTGCAGTGAATGGGTGCCGTCAGAATGAGAGTCCAAACAGAGAAATATGCACAGATCAAGCATCATTTACAATCCAAAACAGCTCTAAACAAACATGTGGCTGGATTGTGAAGCGAGAGGATAATAGGGGATGGCCTTCTTCACTGGAGGAACTGTTATGGATTATGGACTGTATTTTGGTTTATAGATAAAACATATTGATGGATTTGTTTCTTGCAAACATGCAGCTTTGACTGGAGTGCTGTGGATTATTGTGATGTTTTTATCAGCTGTTTGGACTCTCATTCTGACGGCACCCATCCATTGCGGAGACACTGATGCAACGCTACATTTCTACAAATCTGATTAAGAAACAAACTCATCCTGATCTTGGAAGGCCTGAGGATGAGAACATTTTCAGCAAATGGTTTCATTTTTTGGGCGAACTACTGCTTTCACTACTTACAGCATGCTTTCAGAGAGTTCACAGAGATGTGTGTCCTTGTGTTGGATGAAGAAGTTGTTGGGGTTAACAGCGTGGCTGATAACAACTGGCATCTCCTCAAATCTGCGACTCTGAAACTCTGTGATTGTGACATGTACAGCGTGGTCATCTTCAGTGTGGTCAGTCAGTGTGTCGGGGCTTTGACCGTCCTTCAGACGCCACGGTTCTTCTGCTGAGGGACACACGCTTCGGCTCCAGAGATCAGGAACTTTACAGTCAGCTTGGAAATTAAAATCGGTCACTTCATTTGGGAACGGCTCTGGCAAGGACTGATCTGTATCGGAGGAAATATCCCCAATGTCCCACACTTCAGTGTTTGTGGCAATCATCCAGTGGTAGGAAACATCAGCGCTTTCTTTCTCTGCAAACATGGGTTCAGAAGCGTTCTCCTTAGAAAAGATCTTATTCTCCCTGTTCCTCTCAGCACCGGTCAAAGCCACGACTCTCTGATTCACAGACGCTGTTGCACTGATGTTTTGTTGCTGCATCAGACCAAATGAAGACTGGGTTATGTTTGGCCTGTATTTGACTTCATCGGCTGATGACGGCAGTTCAGACGCTGGTTTTCTGCTTGTTTTCAGAAAGTGAATGAGTTGAGAGCAGGACAACTTCTGATGGTGAATTTGGTCGTTCCCAACATTTAGCTGAAGTACGTGTTTTGGATTTGGATGAATCTGATTTGGGTTGAAGAGCTGGTTTTGACGGCCTCTCGCAGGTTTTCTCTGATTCATGTTGATCTTCTGCAAACACTTCGGGCTGTTCTTGATCAAAAACATTCAACATGTGTCATAACAGTGCTGCTGCAGGTATTTTACTCTCATTTCAGATAAAACTGCTTGATTTGTTGGAGGTTTAATGCTCCTTTTATCATTTAAGCAATTATTTAATCATTAATTAAAAATATTGTATACCATGGACCAGGGCCAGAAATGAACCAAGGGTATGAATAAATGAGATGCTCCAGATATTTAAAAGTAGGAACAAAAAAAACTATTCACTTTCTCAAAGGCAAGTGCAGCTGATTGTGAAGCTAACATGAAATCAAAATCTGTTTAATCTTATGTTGTGTGTTGTATAAGTTAAAAACAAGAGAATGTCTTCATCTCAAGGTTTTTAATGTCACATGTCCCTGCTAAAAAAATACAACAGAAACTATCACAGAAGTTCTAATGGTGTCTACTACAAATACCATCACAATCATTACAAACCATCAACTATTAACCATTAAAACCATTACAAATGATTTCCTGTAGTGTCTTTTGGGACATATTCCAATAGGATTTAGTGGTTTTAGCAACTTACCAATAGAAGATGACAAATTACCAGTAGAGAGTAGCCTCATACAATTGTAAAAAAAAAAAAACAATAAAATTCTTATTAAAACCATTTCAGACTCTGTGATGGTTTCTATTTCTTTTTTTCTTCAGCAGGGTTGTGAAGCAGTAATTTTCAATTACCTTTGCTTTGGTATAATGAAACTTCTGGACAGACGAAGTTCACAAAAAGTCTACTCCTGTTTAAAAAACAAAAGGCAAAGTTCTGACGCTGACAGAAACAAACACTTAAAAGCATATAATCAACATGAACAACAATAAACAAATCAATATCAATAAAATAAATAAAAAATCCACAATAAACGTACTGCTCAGTAAAAAATGGCATTATCAGCTGTTTAGCATTAAAACATTGCAACGACTGGACATGATTTACTCTAAAGAGTTAACTAGCAAATACTTACATACAAACGTCTATTTACCTTCTCTGTGAGTTTCTTCGTTTCTCTGGGCTGAGTTTGTTTTGTGGATGTTGGTTTAGAGTTGCTGTAAATAAGAAACGCGTTTTCTCAGAAGGAGGCTCATCTTTTTGGATTAGTCGATATGTTTGTCAAAAATAGGTCATGTTGAGATGATTAGTTACCGCTTGTGCACGAAGCTACGGAAGCAGTTCATCTAATGATTAGATCAAGAAAAAGCTCATGAAGTGCTGCTGTTTGCAGTTTCTAGACACTATAAGACACTCGCGCCACCAGCTGGAGGAGAAACACACCACGTGTTGAGTACGGCTGAATCTTTATTTATTTATTTGTTTGTTTGTTTATTCGTTCGTTTCTTTCTTTATTTACAAACTCTTTTATCAGAAACTATTGTACATACATTAAAATGAAATTTTTTTATAAAAGGCAACAAGTGAAAGTTGTTTCATTACCAAATCTTCGATGTGGTATGATAAATATATTCCAACCGTATCGCCATCTCAGCTGGATCCTATATAAAGTTTAATTAAACTATCTACAAGTTCCCTTTCATAGATTCACTTCAATGCTGCCACAGCGGTCGCTATGGGAACTCCTCCAGTGTGATTCTGAAGCCTTTACACCAGGGGTCGGCAAGTAAGTTTGGCATCAGGCCAAAAAAAAATCGCCACTAGATGGCGGGCCAGAACATAGTCAATGGATAATTTAAGAAATTAATTGATGAAAATGCAACTATAATTGCCTGTGACAGACTGTTGCAGTGTCTTTTGTAACTGGTAGTGAGCTACTCCGTGTTAAATCCTGTAGAAGGACAGTCATTAAGAAAAAGCCACATTTGTGTGGTGGTGTCTGGCAGAGTATGTGAGCGGAGTAGAGCAGCAACAATTTCCGCTCTGCGGCTAAAGTATTTCAGTATGTTTGAAATATCACAGTTCTGTTCATAACGTATATTAAAAAATAAAATAAATAATATAACAGCAGAGTTTCAAAGTGGCTTATTGGAACACTAGTGTTCAAACTTTTTTCCTACCACATGACAAGCTAATAACATGGTTGTCAGCATTAAAAGGTATAATTGCTGCTTTTTTGCTGTGCAAATTTAGTGTGTGATGAAAATAACAGTACGTTTTCGTCAGTTATTTTACCTACGGATCGATGCATTTCTTACAGATTTCTGCTCATTCGAAATCGGATACAGATGAAGTAGCACTGTACGATTAAATTTGTTTGAATGCATTATTGAGAGAGCGATTGCGTGAGAAAAAGTTTTGTAGTACTTGTTTAAATCATGCTTTCAGCTGAAAATATTCAGTATCTAGATGGAACAAACAAATTCCTTGAGAACTATAACTTCCCGCTATGCCCAATGCCGTCATCATAGCTTCACATTCTTTCTGATTTGAGTGATCCTTCTCTATCAAGCTAGCTAAATATGTTTAACATGTGAATTCTTGCTAAATATGCAGTTATATTACGGGTCGTTGGCATGAAATGTACTCGTGATGGAGCGGTGGTGGAGCTCTCTTGGAGCGAGTGAAAACCACGATCCGACAATTTGCTCCTTGCTCCAGTCAAAATCACACCGCTCCACTCCGCACTCCGCTCACATACTCTGATTGTGAGTAACTGTTGCTGTCATGACAGATCTACTTCAGAACCAGCCGCTATCAAAATAATCTGGCTCCGTGCGCGGGCCAGTTTCTGCCTTACACCATCACGCCAATTCATTGGCCAATAGTGCTTAGCACCGCCCCTCGCATACGTCACATATGCTCATATCAGCGTGCTGCATGCTATTTCATCAGATTTAATTTCCTTCAGGAAGCGGATCATCTGTTGCCCGTAGGAAAGCGTTCTTTCGTCGTGTTCCCATCTATTTTCTTTAAAAAAAAGAGCAGTTTACTCCTCTTCAGCAGACACAATGAGCTATGGGAGATGTGTCGAGCCGTGTGACAGGTTCATCGCAGGAGGAGACACTCATGACAGGTGCATGCAATGTTTGAGCCTACAACATGCTCAAGCGGCACTCAACGGCCTTTCTGACAGTCAACACTGTGATGACCTGCGGCTAAAAGTATTACGCTCAAGGTTCGCGGCCTTCTCTAAGAAAGTAGGCCTTGTGTCTAACCGCCACCATGCCATTTCTGCGGTTGTCGAGGTGCCGCACGAGACAGTCGCTTGGGGTGACGCATGCGAGCCGGAGCTCATGGAGAGTGAGACGACGGAGCTTTCTCCCTTCCTCTCGCTCTCTCCAGGTCACATGCAAGCAATCGAGGAGCGCTACGTGGAGCCCGTTGTCTCCCTGCAAACATGTCCTTGCGGGGCCCATGCTGGCTTTTTGCGAGCACAGTGGGCTAGGGTCAGCCCACACCAAACCTAAATGGGCCCAGTGCGGGCTTTCCCATGCGAGGCCCACAGCTTTGGGCTCACCGCAGGCTCACTGTGAGCAGCCTACACTATGGGCCTGTTAATAAGAATTTTGTGGGCAGTTTCCTTCCTTACCACTAGGGGTGCTAGGTTGTTTTAGGTTTCCTAAGGCTATATAAATAAAGGTGACTTGACTTGACTTGGACTAATTTTGATTGTTCCTGGTTAGGAAGAGTCTGGTGTGTGAGAGCTGTGACGTGTTTTCATTACAAGAGGTTGGATTATTAATTTGCTATCAGCCAACTTCAGCTACGGACAGTGTTTGGAAATTGATGCACTACAGATAAGACTTTCACACACATCAACTTTCCCATGAAGAAATCCGACAATCTTACATTGCTTGTTTGCCTTTTAGTTTATTTATTTTTTTACTTTTTTGTATTTACATTTTTGGCTATATGTAGCTGCATTAACCTGAATTGAATGTTTTCTATTTTGTATTTAATAAATCCATTGATTTGAAATCCTTTTGACTACTGTACATTTTTGAAAATATAGACATTAGTTGTGTGGTGACTGCATTCATTTCAGATGTATAATAACTAGGGATGCACCGATACTGGTATCGGGCCCGATACTGAGCTCCTGTACTCGTATTCGTACTCGTTAAAATGCCCCGATACCAAACGCCGATACCACACAGCATGTGATAAGCGCCATATTCAGACAAAGAAACACCGACAACAGAACAACAGACAGCAGAATGGGTTAAGGATGTCTACTACGAAGTATATGTATGCAATGAATATAAAACATTCAGTATTAATGCCTGTATAGCTGATGTGCGCGAGCTGATAAACAAAGCACGCTGAGTGGATTGAGCGCGCAGCGGCGCAGATGCGCGAGCTTGTCGAGTGAATATATCTTTCTCACAGATATCACTGGAAAGTTTGTAGTTCGGTCGGATATGTCAAAAAGAAGTAAGTAAAACAATGCACACGTTACTTAATGGAAATTGATACAAATTTGTGTCCAAAAATTATTCAGACCGAGTCTGGGAAAAAACTGAAGTTGAGGTTTGCATGAAGCTGGATGACAGCATGCCCAGGAGACTACAGGCTGTCATTGAGGCTAAGGGTTGCCCGACTAAGTATTGATAGTTGTGTAAATACTGTCATACTAACAGCTGTCTGAATTATTTTGGTTGATTGTAATCTATTACATACCTTTCTATCAGAATTATCTAGCGTTATCAAGATGAATTTGTTCTGACAGTTTAAAATTGAGTTCTTGTCATATTTTATTACCATTTTCTAAACTATAGCGAATAAACTGTGTCTGAATAAATTTTGGTTTGACTGTATCTATTTGATAAATGAAGTTAACCAACTAACATTATACATACCCTTTTAGTTTCTGTACCCAATATTTAAAAAATGTACAAATGCAATAAAAATATCAGTATCAGTACTCAGTATCGGCAAGTACCAAAAATAAAAGTATCGGTATCGGGCGAGTACTGGAAAAAGTGGTATCGGTGCATCCCTAATAATAACTGTTTTTCCAAAGACTTAAGTTATAGTAGCTGTAAAGTATTTAAAGTGAAACAGATGTATTATTATAGATGAGGGGTGCATCTTGTTCCTGGAGATCTACTTTCCTACAGAGTTCAATTCCAACCCTGATTAAACAAACCTGTCTGTAATTATCAAGTGCTCCTTCAGATCTTAATTAGTTGGTTCAGGTGTTTTTGATCAGAACCGGGTTGGGCACCCCTGTTGTAGATTAATAGTGTGGGTTAAGTAAGGGCTGCCCGTGCAGGGCCAGCACTAATGGGCCAACGTTTTGCCAATGAGCAAAATCTCAGAGGCCCTGCGCTGGCAGCCCACTGGGGGCCCTTAGGCTAGCCCTAAGTGGGCCTGTAAAGGGCTGGTGCAGGCTTGTTTGCAGGGCTTTGACAACGATGATTTGCGGCCTACCCTGGAAGCTCGTAATGCGATTTCTTTCGGTTGTGAACCGTATGATGAAGACATGCTATCCACAGCGGCCTCTGATTCGGAGGATATAATGGGTGAAGCGTGCAGTTCTCTTCTTCCGAGCAGACAGGAGAAATGCACCTGTTAGATGTTGTAACGCATACTGTGGATAAGCTGGGGTTAGAGTGGGATAGCGAGCCGGCGCAAAATCAGGCCCAGTCGAAACTGGATGACCGATTTTTGACTAGCCGCACTCCGTCCCAGCCCCGTAGGCCTCTCCCTTTCTTCCAAGACCTCCACCACGAGCTTTTGAGGTCTTGGAAACAACCTTTTTCGGTGCGTATTACTAATCCTGCTGCCGCCGATTTCGCCACTGTTTCCAAAATGACAGAACATGGCTACGCAGCGATGCTGGCCGTAGAAGAGACTCTCGCAGCACATCTCACGCCGAACTTGGCTCCGTCTTGGAAATCACGCTTCCTGTTGCTGTCCAAGCCGTGTAGGATTACTTCCACTTTGGTCGGGAAATCTTACAAGGCCGCTGGACAGGCCGCGGCCACACTTCATTCTGTGGGCATACTCCAGGCTTATCAAGCAGATGTGCTTAAGGAGCTGGATGAGGGGGAAGGCCTGACCCCGGAAGCTGTTAAAGAGCTCAGGCGAGCTACGGACTTGGCACATATGGCTACAAAGCACAAGGCTTGAGCAGTGGGCAGGTCCATGGCAGGTTTGGTGTTAGTTGAGTGCCACCTTTGGCTCACTCTCACTGACATTAAAGAAAAGGACAGAGCTTTTCTTTTGGATGCCCCCTTTTCTAATGACGGCCTTTCTAACCCTAACGATTGTCGTGGGAAAGTTCCGAGCAGCGAAGCAGCAGTCTGCCACATTTCATCAGGTCATC